TTCGCACCTGACTTGTTAAGAAGGTCTTGATCGTTCGGAATCGCTTCTTCTCATTATCGTACTTGTCCCTGATCTTCTCTGCTGACCAGTGGAAGTCTGGAAAGGATTCCTCCATTGTAACAGAGATCCTCTAGAATGCCGGCCGCGTCTCGGTCAACTTGTTGATACGGAACGCTCCAGCGATAGCCTCGTCTCGGAATAACTCGATAATCTTCGCCTGCATTTCGGTTGTGTAGATGATTTTCCTCCGCCTCGTACGCGGGGTCGACGAAGGCGCGTCAGGTGTCGGCTCGGAAGTAGGGCCGTCATCGGAGGCTTGCAGGCCGCCGTCAGAGGGTAGGTCATCGGCTTGAACAACAATAGAGGCCTCAGGAGCAGGAGACTCTACTGCGGTTGCCCTGATGCGGGGTCTTCTGGGCATCTTGACGATAGGTGGGTTGCTGTCGTGGCTGTATTTTGGTCAAAAAATTGCGGGAAGACAGGGCGGAAGTCACACGGGACTATGATTAATTAGGAAAAGCCTAGTTACAGGGGGTTTCGGGGTACATTGGCTGTGTCTCCACTTTAATTATGCACATGGCTCGTATCTTTTCCCAACCGCAACGACACCGCAACGGCGAGCCGATCAGGCCCTTAGATAGATATATACGATGACCGTGGCACCGGTCTTAGATAGTTCTTGCTTGGTTCTTCAAGCAAGCAATACACATTCACTGCACTCATACACTTTGAGTGGCATTCCGATTTGACTGTATTACCCGTGCGATAGGAGCTTGCCTTTTGTTCTATCTTCATAATTACCAACCCAACATCCTGTGGAGCCCGTGCTCCCTTACAGACAGACGACCCTGACAGTCGAGTGGTTTGTAATATCCTTCCTTTGGGGCTTTGTTTGAGGAAGATATACTTCCTTGAGCCACATAAGAGCTATTTTGCTATTGATCTAGCCTGTGGGCGTACAGTCGTATTTCCAGGTCTTGAGGACTGGTAGTTCCTTGAAGTTATCCAAGAAGTGTTGGCCTTGTAGATTTTCACCCGTAAAGATCACTACGGGCGTCAATCGCTTGCCCTCAGCGGTACCACACTCGATAACACTGACCCAGGTCGTTGGATCAGGGCTAGTCAGGACTGCCCGAGATGTGAGGGCATCGCCAATCACCTTCCCAACCGTAGTTTCCGTCTCTGCATGCCATGTTCGTCCATATTGGCGATATTCGCAGGTACTAGCTTCTTGTCCTTGATTACAGCTTCTAAACGATTAAAAAAATCATGGAATCGCTCACGGGTAGATCCTTTGACTGGAGACCGTTCTAATAGGGTACCTAACTTGGTCTTTACCCGGGGGTTACGGGTAAAAAACCGATCTACCCAGCGCTCACCAACTTGCCCAGGGAGCCCGGCTTCGTTCAGAATTGCTTATGCGAATCGTCTTAGCCGTGCACGACTTGGGGCATGCCTTGTAGCTTCCTCCTCAAGAGCCCACTCGGCGACGAAGGCTTCCTGGTCGTCAGTTAACTTCTAGGTGTTTTTTTGGGCTTGTCGTGGATCCTATTGTCTACGGCGTCGTCTGCTGAGGGTAGATTCAGGGATCCTATATAGGCGCGCTACTTCCTTCTGCTGCGCGCCCTGATCAATAGCCTCAATAGCCTCGGCTATTAGCCGCTCTCGTACGCGTCGAACCATCGTATTTTGAGGCTATTCCGACTAGTATTGAGGAAGTTGTTGGTGGTGGAAGGTAGAGGGTAGGAAGTTGGCGGTGTGGGGGAAAAATTGCAAAGTGGGGCAATTGCAAAGGTGGGTCACCCTGTCTAGATAAAGCTTTGTACAGACTATGGCAGTTTCTACTACTCTGGCAAAAGAAGATCACAAAAACCCTGCAAACTTTGAGATTCCAAACTATTCCACACGAGCTCTGTATTCTTATTTGGAACGGCATCTTCGTTTTCTTCTACGTCGACGACATTGTCTTCGCCTACCGCAAGGAAGATACGGCTACACCCTAGGCACTGGCGTCACAACTCTAGCAAAAATACCAACTGACAAGTGAAATACCAACTGACAGGTAGAAATAACATACAGTAGTTTCTGGGCATCGAGGTTCTCAGAGATAGAACCAAAGGCCTAATTTGGCTTTCCCAGACAGCTTATCTTGACATAATTGTCACACTGGCTGTGAGGGCCTGGTCCTCCAGGCCTCCCAGACGCTCTGACTAATCAGACGCCAGTTGGGTGGATCCACCCGACCAGCCAGAGCCCCACCTTGAGACGCCCTGGAAGAATCTCGCGACGGGAGGCTTTTGAGCTTCTTTTCCCTTTTCCCTTTAGTTTAGAATCTTCGTCTATAGCGCCCAATAAAGGAGTTCCGCCCTCATTCCAAGCCGGCCGTGACACTGGCAACCACACGGGCGACCACGACGGCCAAGATTCCAATAGCTATAACAGAGCTATTACCATATAGTAGCAAGGCTGAGCTAGCGATGCCTCCTTTGCTGATAATTCCATCGATCGAAAAAGCTCACGGGCTTATACTACAAAACTGTCTAGTGGCTTAGTTGGTTAGAGGGCAAACAAGCAAGACACCGTTACTACCTTCACTACAGAAGCCGAAATTTTAGCCTTGTCCCAAGCCACAAAAGAAGTTCTTTTCGTAAGCCGATTGCTGGCTGATTTAGCCGTTCAACTAGATAACCACCACATTACAATCTAGTGTAACAATAAGCAAACTATTCGGCTGGTAACGGCTAAAATAGCCACTCTAGAAACCAAACTCGGGCTTGTTGATATCTACAACCATTGGCTTCGCCAGGAGTTTAGTTACGGAAAGACAAGATCGAATTTACGCCCTCAAAGAGCATGGTTGCTGACGCCTAACGAAAGCTCTCAGTGACGCACTTTAAGGATTTATTATTACAAACCACTCGACTGTTAGGGTCGTCTGTCTGTAAGGGAGCGCGGGCTCCACAGGGTGCTGGGGTTGGTAATTATGAAGATAGAACAAAGGGCAAGCTCCTATCGCACGGGTAATACAGTCAAATCGGAATGCCACTCAAAGTGTATGAGTGCAGTGAATGTGTATTGCTTGCTTGAAGAACCAAGCAAGAACTATCTAAGACCGTGGCTACGGTCGTCGTATATATCTATCTAAGGCGGACCAATCAGAGTCCTTCTCCAAAGGTCAGGGCGATCACTGCGGTCAGTCCATACTGATCGCACTGATCACACTGACCGCTTCCTGACTAGTTGGCCGTCCTGCGAGTGGTGGTCAGTCGGGCCTTGGCGGCTCGTCGCGACTGACCGCCTCCTGGTTGGCTGCACTAGCCCCTAGGTGGGTCTACCCCGCCTGGCTGCCCCAGCCAATCTGCAGGGAGCAAGAAGGCGCCTCCTGCACGCCTGTGCCAGGATCGTAACATTTATGAGCCAATTAGGGCTTACAGCAGCACCACCACACCGCGGCACCACCACGGCGAGCCAGATCCCTCTGGGTTACTAGGACTAGACCAGAATAGAATATGGAGTCAGCCAGAGTTTGACGATGCGGCACCATACCGCAGCACCACCACCACATCGCGGCACTACCACGATGCGACACCACCACGTCGTGCGGCCACACCACGTTGTATGCGGCCACCACCACGTCGTATGCATGCCAAACCATTGGAGAGGCCAGGGGTGCGCTGGGTGGCCGTGTGTGTGGGTGGTGGGCGTGGGTTGGCGTTCTTTGTGTGGGTTGGCGTTCTTTATGTGGGTTGGCGTTCTTTATATGAGTTGGCGTTCTTCCTGACACTGGTGGGTGGAGGTTGGCGTTTCTGACACTGGTTAACGTGGTGACGGGGCGTTGTGCTGCTGCGGCTGGTGATGTGACTCGGCCCGAGCCGTATCGTCGCGACCCGTGTCACTGGCAGCTGTGATCTCTCCTTGTCTTGCTAGCTGTGTGTCTCCTGGCGGCGTCTCCTAAGCTAGTCTCCTGGCAGTGCCTCCTGGCGGTGTCTTGGCCTTCGCGCTGTAGCTAGGTACCTCTTTTGCCTTCTGTTGCGGCTGGTAACAGCCAGGCGATCGTTTGTCCGTGCTGCTGCGTAGTGCCTCCCTCTCCTTTGCCTTGTGCTAGTAGACTCCCGTGTCGTAGACGTATGTACCTGGCTGCAGCGGGTACCATATTAGTTCTCGTCATGGCTGCCATCGAGGAGGGGGTATGTCGTACCTTGTTTGTCATGGCTGCTATCAGGGGGTGTCGTTTGCTTATTTGTGTTGGCTGGTGATCACGTCAGTCCTCGTTGCCTGCTTGTTCGTATTGCTGGGAGTATGTCGTACCTTGTTTGTCTTGTGGTGACCCGTCAGTCCCTCATTGCCTGCTTGTTTGTATTGCTGAGAGGGGTATGTCGTATCTTGTTTGTCTTGTGGTGAGCCGTCAGTCCCTCATTGCTGCTTGTTCGTATTGCTGGCTGTCGGGGGCAGTCGTTTGCCTTGTGTGTTGGCTGGTGATACGTGATCCCCTTGCCTTCTCGTTCTGTTGTGGCTGACTGGTGGCATAGGTTGGCGTTGTGGTGTGGGTGGTTATGGGTTGGCCTTCTTGACACTGGTGTGGGTGTGGGTTGGCGATACTGGTACAGTGGCTAGCGAAACTGGTGTCGACACGTTGGAAGATTCTGCGCAGACATTCGCCCCACCCGTGGGCTGACACAGTGCACTTGCGTTCAAGAAATGTACTGTACTGCCACTTAACTTTCATTATTGCAGGGAGCAAGACTGACAAATCCTTCATGGGTCAGAATCGACACTTCTTGGCCCGCCCAGGCGATGCCCTCAACTTCCTTGATGAATGTCGCCACTCGAGACATCAACCATAGATTCCCGCACTCTGCCAAGACGACTCTTGCTCGTCGTTCAGATTGGCTGATTGGTTGGTGCAAGACACAATCGACGCTCGTAGCGAGCAGCTCTCTGGGCCAACCCCTATAAGCGGGATCGAGGCTATTCACGATGGGATCGTAGTTCACCATAGTCAAGCACGGGATCGCTCAGGCACGCTACCGCTCCTTCAGCCAGCCGACTGGAGCGAAGACGTGGCCTATGACAAATGTCCGCCTACATGCATCTACTACTTAATCGAGTGGAAGCTGATAGTAAACGGTAGAGTTGCCGCGAAAGACACCGAACAGAACCTCGTGCTTGCCCCTAATATATACTGGGACGTTCTAGAGAAATAACTCGAGGTCTGGGGCTAACTTTTCTGCGCCGGAAAGAAGCTCAGGATGGACATATCTCAACTACCTGGAAACGGGCTCGGCAGCGGGCGTTTCCGCACGGCATGGCGCCAAACGTGGCCCGTCGGCCTCTCGGCACATGTTATCCGGGAAAGCCATGCAGCTAGACGCCGAAGAGGATGCCTCGGGCTAGCCATCGGCCTGGCGAGACGTCTACAACCTGATGCGATGCCCTGGACCGCCTTGTCACCTGGGACCCCACTGCTACCGTGACCCTGTGAGCATAGAGCATGTCAGAAGTGTTGCAATTCCAATAATAAAGATGATTTGGTTGAAGATCTTATTCAATTCTTGTCTCTTCTCTAGCTGATCTACGGAGCCTTTAATATAGTATAGTGGGTGGCGATAATAGGTGGCGGTAATTGTTAAGCATGCTGACAAAATCCAGTATAGTTCTTTCTATCCCTTTCTATCTAACAGAGTATTACAAACTGAAGACCCATCATCTGAGGAGCATGATTGAGTAGAGCAAGGCCACGGAATACAGAACCACGATGACTTACCGAGAGATACCCGGGAACAACTGTACGCCGAGGAGCATTAAGATTTGACAGTAGCGGAAGCGCACGACATCTTCTCTAGTCGGCTATCTGCCTATCGATATCACCAACGTGATGCCCGGACAGTCCCTGGCCGAGACCTCGTATTCCACAGCCTCCCCGGCATCTAGAGTTCCCGCCCGTCTCGACATCCCGAGACTTTGGGACATGGCCGTTAGGAGATACAGCGATTAGTAGTGTTCGCGTACGATTGGCAGTGTTCGCAAGTCGGCGATGACAGTCTCGAGACGGAGTATCAGAAGGCTTGCAATCTGACGCTGGACGGGCTGCATCTCGAGCAGGAGTATGAGGACCAAGACGCCTAGTTTTACGTAGATAAGGAGGTGAAGAGAGGGATTGCCCGGCGATTTGTTTGTGAAATTGAGGTTTGGGCAACACATTACATATGAGTAGAAAATTTAAATCGCAAGTACTCGTGATATGAAATTAAGAATCTAACACTATAGCTACGGCTATTTAATACAAAGTCCAGCATGCCGAATGTGACCCTGTCTACACACCACTCTAGAAACGACCTAAAACCCTGCTAGGGAACCTCGTCGAAAGCATGCCAGTTCCGCTTTATTAATGTCTCTAGCTTGGCAAAGAACTCTTCGATGGGGTTCAGTCAGGGGAGCAAGGCGGCAGGTATAGCAAACCCTATTAAGGAACCTCGTTGAAAGCATGCTAGTTCCGCTTTAGAAATGTCTCTAGCTTGGCAAAGAACTCTTCGATGAGGTTTAGTCGGGGGAGTAGGGCGGCAGGTATAGCAACCCCTACTAGGGAACCTCGTCGAAAGCATGCCAGTTCCGCTTTATTAGCCTGGCAAAGAACTCTTCGATGGGGTTCAGTCGGGGAGTAGGGCGGCAGGTATAGCAACTCTACTCGCGGTGCTACACAGCTCCTTCACTCCAGCGGTACACACAGCTCCTTCACTCTCAAGACGCATTGTCCATGATGAAAATTGATTTCGGGTAGGCCATCTGCCGCAGAGGCAGCAGCTGCTCGATCAAGTTCTCAAAAACCGGGCTGTTAGTAGGCCCTTGAAATACACGTACAGGCACTACGCCATCTTGGGCGTAGGCTAGCAAGATCTGGTGTGTTCACTCCTGACGGCCATCCCGTGCGCCTGAACCCAGCCAGCTTGTCGCAACCAGATCGAGGTCCAGATCGGGGCCCGGAAATACATATCCGTTGCCACCAAGACTGTGGGTTAGAGATCCGGGACCAGGTGGCGCCCGTCCAACGCTTCCAAGGTGAGGGTTTCTGGCTACAATGCCTAGACCTTGTTCATGTTCAATATTGGGCTCTAGTGTTGCGGGAACGGGGCCGTATCCGCTGGGATGAGATGTCGGGAACATCTCAGTGTAGTATCTCGACGATCCAATGCTTCCAAGGTGAGGGCTTCTGGCTGCACCGCCTGGACCTTGTTGGTGTTCACTATTGGGCTCTAGTGTTGCAGGAGCGGGGCCGTATCCGCTGGGATGAGATGTTGGCTGCGACTCGGTGTAGTATCCCGACGATGTCGTCGATGCGAGACTACCAGCGTAGACATCCCCGCAAAGATTAGGCAGCAAAGAGTTGTTACTCAAAGCGTTGTTGCTCAAAGAGTTGTTGCTCAAAGAGTTGTTACTCAAAAAGTTGTTGCTCAAAGAGTTGTTACTCAAAGAGTTGTTGCCCAAGTACTGCATTACATTCATCTCGGCCGATTCTGTGCTTAGCGATCCGTGATTGGACGCCTGTTCACCCTCCGACCGCAGCTTAAATCTGGCGGCGGCGGCAGCAGCGCCTCGTGCCAAAGCCTCTTCTCTCGCGCGCTCGGCTTCCTCAATAGTGCCAGTGTGGTGCGTCAGGTGCCTTCTGAGGGTATTGCTACGTGTGAAGGTTTTTTGGCAATCGGCATAAGGGCATCTGTACGGCCGCGTGCCCGAGTGGGTCCGACGGTGCCGTGCAAGAGAGCTGCTGTCGCTGAAAGGCTACACTGGAGTTAGCAGTAGCTCTAGCTATTTGCTGAACGTTGGGCATACCTTGGCGCAGTGCTCACACAGGTGGGGCTTCTCGCCCGTGTGAACGCGCAGATGTACCGTAAGGGCGGTCCGTTGAATGAACGTCTTGCCGCACCCAGGATAATCACAGGCATGTGGCCGGACGCCGTTGTGGATTCGTTCTATACCATTGTTAGCTGAGTCTCGCAGAACGGCGAGACGGCCGCGTACCATGACGATGAAGATCACTCTTCCTTACAAAGCCTTTGCCGCAAGTACTACAGGGGTAAACTCTCGGCGGTGGCTGAGAGGCATCAGCGAGTTTGTGGCCTCCTGTGCCTGAAGTTGGCATGTCGGCATTGGGAACGGGCGGCAAGATGGTGGAAGGTGAAGGGTAGGAAGCGTTCATGGGGCCCGTCTGTTCGGAGCCGTAGCCGTGGGGCGAGATGGTGGAAGGTGAAGGGTAGGACGCGTTTATGGGGCCCGAGTATTCGTAGCTGTGGGGCGAATTTGGCCGATCCATCACGAGCTGCGGATGGTCTTGGCCAGGATGCTGTTGGTCGGGTGTCATGTCCTGTGCGATGCCCGTGCCGTTGTCAAGCATGCTGCCAATGCCCATGCTGCCAGTGCCCATAGCACCAGCGGGAAGCATGCTGCTGATGCCCATAGCAGCAGCTGACGACGGTGACTGCGACATAATGGTACGCTATCTCGCGCTTGCAGTGTATCCCTGGGTGCTTCCGGCAAGGTGGCAGGTCCCTGATATGCTGCTATATACTGCTGCTAACCGGGAAGTGTCAGCAGCACGGACGGCAGCGGATTGAGCGGTGAGGAAGCAAGTCGAAACGGCCCAAGACTACGCTCAAAGAACCAGGCAAATGATGGTGAGCGCAAGCCACAGTTCAGTCCAGCTCTACTCCACAGGCCTACCTAGTGCAGTGTAGTCCAGATCGGAAGGTTGGGCCTGAGCTTGGGCCTGAGCAATGTGACGGGGCGAGGTTGAAGGGAAAAAGAGGCAACAAGGTGAGGCGAGGTTAAAAGAAAAAAGGGACAACAAGGTGATGCCGCATCGGAAAATAAAATTTCTCACCTCAGTAGAAAAATCCGGAAGATCCAAAGTACCTAAATCGGCTTTTGATTAAAGTCTCAACAAATTCGTGTATGGACGTGGTTGAGTCAAACACGGTTTAAGTGTGGTGTCGCGCTCAAGGGCCAAAATGCACGTGCCCTAACCACACCACCGCGACTATTTATCTCAATAAACTCAGACGTGTGGTAGTGGGAAAGAAGGTACGATCCCGATTAGGAAAGATCCATAGACCGGCTTTTGAAATAAATTTCAACCAATAGGATTTTTTATATTCGAGCAACGGGATCAGAGCCATCACACGTCTAAGGTCAATTCTCGATTTTTCCCGCTTTGAGTTATGGATCAAGTCGGTCAATTGCGCGCATACAAATAACACTACTAAATCAAGGCGCAAGTATACGTTGTATGTATCATTTTTATTACTAGAAAGCGCGCTTTCGATTGGTACTAACCTCATTGATAGAAAATGAAGGATTCCGACGAGGTCCTGCAGCTTCCTTCGAATATGCCTGCGTAGCGCAGAACCGCTGGTCATCACGAATTTCCTCCCGCAGCTTCTTTCGAATGTGCCTGCGTGGCGGCAGAACTGCCAGTCTATCACGAATTTCCTCTCCACCGATTCGAGCTTCTTCATCAGGCCTTTCAGGCCCTCCTACAAGCCCAACACCTATCTCTCGAATCCAAAGGAATCTTTAGGGCAACTGGCAAAGCCATGCGCCGTCTTCTAGCCTATTACAGGCTCTTCCCTTAAGCTCTGAGTATGAGGACTCTGAGCGAGAAGAAGACCTCGATCAACAGAAAGATAACAGCGAGGATAGGCAATTCTTTTTAACTATGATGACTTTGCCGAGCCAGCGCTATCGCCGCATGACCTTGCAGGGGCTTGGACGTATCTTGTGTATATACCATGTATGATATGATAATTCGGGGAATTTTTTTAAAAGGTTTCGTGTGGCCTGAGGGGCCCCGACGCGGTGTATTTAGCTGCGTCGCCTCTACGTCATTATCACTGCCCCGCCTTTATGACAGGCACGCGGGCTTGGGAGCTGTTAGGAGTAGCTTAATAACATCTCTTACTTTCCTCTTGCCGTGCCTGGACTTTCGGCTCTGGAGTCTACATGTGAGAGGAGGTTGCGCCTGTGCTTAGCTATTTTTCGATAAGGCCTGCACGCCACACTCTTCACCAACCACCGCATTGGCTCCCTAAAATCAGAGGCTCAACAGATTGCTACCACCATACCGAGACACGGGAATAGGCGTCGTTCAAGACTACCAAGGTCCACTGGCAACTGAGGTGATTTAGATGCCGCCCCTAACCTGGCTATCACTTCCAAAATACTCAAGCTTTAGAGACATGAATACTCGGATTCGACGTCAGGCTGGCGAGAGAACGTATACCTTTGAGTCTTTTTTTATTGCTTGGGCTAATAACGGTCGCTAAGCCGCGTTCCCAGCGATTACACGCTCACGCCGCGCTGCTCCTCGCGGATTGGGAGACAGCTTGGATTCACTGCACAAACTGCAACACGGCATTCGTCCAAAAAGACGCCTATTACACCAAAGCGAATTGTCCTCGCTGTGAGCGGCATTCTAAACTATACGGCTATATCTGGCCCAAGACACAGCCGGGAGGACCAGGGTGGGCGAAATATTATCGCTGGGGCAACGATAAATATCGCTTATCGCCGATAATCGTGCGATATCGTCGATAAATATCGATAACATTGATAATGCTTAGTCAGCTATCAATCTATCTCCGCCTCAACCTCCACAACTCGTTCTCGAATACATCCTGGCTCCCCCGTAAGCCCTGACCTAATCCAATGCTTCAAGCATTCAAGCATTTCCACTGTACTTTCTCCTAGTCGCATTCTTTCCCACGTTATCGTACGACGAGCCCCAGAAAAGACCCTTTCCGGCTCAGCACTCATTGCCGGGATTGATAGGATGTTGATTGCCAATTGAGATAGCTTCGGCCAGCGTCTTCGTTGCTCTATACGGAGCCACCAATAGAGAGATGATCCTTCGATTTGACGAGGTGGCTCTGACAAGTACTCTTCAAGTTCATCTTTGCTTGGTGGCCTTGGAAAGTTCTCAAGACCTCGCATTAAGGTATCCAAATCATCATTCGGATTCGGATTCTGATCTTGGCTCCTCTCCTTCTCAATCAGAAGAGCTGACTGTGGTTTATTTTCTGCTCCTTTGAAGTTGATCCAGAGCGTTTTGACCGCTTGGATTGCTGGCTTGACCCATTTTTTCTCCCAATTATACTTGAGATATTCAGTCTTCCTCGAAGGATGGAAAATAATCGCAGCAGCATAATACGGAGTATCTTCCGTTTTGGCATAGTATTTGTCGAAAGTCTGCCAGCTCTTTTGGATTCGTTGAGAGATAAAGGGATTAGATTTGAAGGTTTCCTGGCTCCTCCTATAATGCTGAACCAACGCATCCATAACAAGAAGAACTCGGTCGATTGTTGCATGATCTCCCTCAGTAGTTTTTGTTGCTGAATAAAACGGCTTAAGGAAGGATTGGATAAATCGAAGAATCTCCCAATCTTGCGGAGAAAGAAAGTCAGACTTCAGCTCTTCGTACCAAGCTTTCGAATAGGTATCAAGGGCTGATTCCTTTTCCAGTGCAACTCTTAACATCTCGTACCAGCTATTCCACCTTGTGATATTATCGAGAGGAATATTCCGGCCGGCAAGAGTTTTAAACTGATTCGTACGAGAGACTGAACCACGGATGTGGATGACGATATTATGAAGCTTTCCAAGGGGGCCGATATTGCGAAAGAAGCCCGATTCGAAATCTTCTTCTTCTTCATCCTTTTGGAAAAGAAACGCTTGGACTGCTAGGTTGATAATATGCCCCGTACATCTGATTCGATTCTCTGACGCCTTCCAGTAGAGGCCTTCTTCTTCAAACTTCGAATCGAGAAGTAAACAAAGTTTGTCATTAGAGGTAGCATTATCGCCGATAAATGCCCCAATCTTGTGATAGATTCCGAAATCCTGATGAGTTTGGAAGAGAATATCGTGCTGGACCTCAGAGTGGTGTGAAGGAATAGAAGGTAGAGCGATTAGGGCCTTGACTAATTCCTCGGTTTCGAAATCCACAAATTGAGCACAAATCCCTAGGAATAGCTTGTGATTTGAAGAAGTCCAAATATCCAGAGCAAGGTGGATTGTTGAGAGCGCTGATTGGAGCTTCTTTCGTAGAATATCTTTATGAAGATTGAACGAGCTGCTAATCCGTAGTTTAAGCGTCGAATGTGATGAGATAAGACTCTGAGCCTCAGGATTTAGCTCCTGACAAAAGGCACGAAAGAATGGGCTCTTGATAATCCGGAAGGGAAGATTTTGGGTGACAATCATAGCAACAAGGGCTTCATTGAGGGTTTTCTGGTTGAGAATCTTCCTCATAACTCGGGTATCCAATTCAGAAGTCTGATCGATTTCCGATGCCTTGTTGTATAAGGAATCAAGAGATTGAGATGCCGTACGAGATGGGGCTTCGAGGGTGATAGCATGCTTGCGAAGGTGAAGTCGTACATTCGTGGTGCTTTGCCCAAACCAAGGGCAGTATTGGCAATAGTAGAGACGATTTTTGCCTTTGTGTGAAGGCTCAGTCGATAGTGGCTGTCGAAGATGATCATGTAGACTTGACTGAATAGTTTCTTGAGATACCAGAGATTCCTCGGTATCTTGTGTCGAGGGAGTGGACATTTTGTAGTTGAGCCACTTTCGTAGCTATATTACAAGGCGTAGCCGATGAAGATGATGATATTGAGGGGAGAGGAGGGGTAAAAAATTATCTGCTTACTAAGCAACCGATATCGACGATATCGGTCGATATCGTCAATATCGGCGATAACAATTATTGATTCAATATATCGGCGATAAGCTTATCGTCGCCCACCCTGAGGACGGGGTAACGAGGAGCGTATCATTGACCACCGAGTCGTTAACCGCTTCTTGGGTCCGGAAGACGAGGCCAAGATCCGAGGAAGGCAATACTGGAAGGATAGATTGCTTATAGAGAAGGCATCCTCTCAGTCCCTAGCACAATACGCAGAGGAGAGATTCGAGGTGCGGGGCAGGAGCATGGCGAGAGAGGGTACGAGCGACCAGCACCAGAGCGTGGATGACGCTGCTGCCCTCGGGCTCCAACGCAGTGGTCGGGCTCGAAGAGCAAGCGCGAAAATCACGGCCGATTAATATGGGGTGGGGGAACTCGAATAATATGACGACCATAGCATGACCCATACGCAAGTGCGCCACTTATTAGGTCATAACCAAACCTTCGCTTGGTGAGACATTCGCCGGCGTTTCCTTCACATGGCATGTCAGCGAGGTGTTGAGGCTTATTCTTTTCATTGGGCTGCCAATCACGGCATGTAGTACATTGTTTTCTCTTTTTATTTTTGGCGTTCAGCACAGCATAGCTGCGTCGCATCATCCAGCATGAGCATGTCACTTTTTAGAGTTATCGCAATGGTTTTCACCCTCGAGGGATGTGTCGTTAGTTGCATTGTACATTACAATAGCTTGCTTGTCCCTTGCGTCAGCGTCAACAGCGGCGTTCTTACGGGTCTGTATTATTTCAAATCCGAACTGTGACCGGAAATCTAATACCTTGCACATCGAACTCAAAGTCTCCTTCGTAATATTGGTCAAAGTGATTCAATTAGTGGTGTTCTGGTCTTGACTATCCATGTATCTTCCATTCGATTCGTGGTGTTGAAGCGGCTCTTAACAGGGACGTAAAATTTGCTACCCCTGATTGTATTCCGTACGAAAGTCACAGCGTGGTCAAAGCTCCTCTGTGCTGCTAACCCACAACAAGCATGCCTTTCGTCATTCGCGGTTAATATGTCAATTAGCATTCCATTAGATCTCCAGCAACGGCGCTTATCTTTAACTTTCACCAGCAACAAATTTAATATCCATGCAACAACTCGAAGCCCCCAGCCCTTCATCCTTAACCTCTACCAACCTATCCGTACTACCTCAGCATCCTCATCGCCAAAATGGCCGACAGCTTTCGCGAAGAGATACTTGACGCGCAGGTCAGCACGGGCGCTAATTTGGAGATGGCCGAGGGCGCTGGCGGCAATGAAGACAAACCCAACAATTTCGAGCTCCCCTTCGCTGAAGGCAGTGGCGAGGATCCTCCGGCGCCGCGCGTAACCTTCCTACAGTACCTGACGAGTCCCATCATTACCCTTCTGGTTGGATCAGGCGACAACGAGACAATTCTCACGGCCCATCAAGGCCTGCTGACCGAAAGCCCGTTCTTCTCTGCAGCTTGCGCCGAGTTTCTCGATGACGGAAGCGTAGGTCCCTTTCCTACTGGCTCCAGCTCGGATAGGTTGCTCTTGATGGTTGCGCGCATATTTACTTGACTCTCGGCACGCATTTAGCCCCACCACATTGAGCTTCCCAGCGAGGACTTTGACGCCATTAGCTGCTTCCTCGAGTTCCTCTACACGGGCGACTACTTCCCCCGCAAGATCCCCGGTCAGCGCGCGCTTGAGAAGGATTCGTCGACTCCCGACGTCGATGCTACTGGCGACCAGCTTCTCAAGCATGCCAAGGTCTACACTCTGGCCGAGAAGTTTGGCCTCTCACAGCTCAAGAACCTGGCCTGGAGCAAGATCCACCTCGTCAAATCGACCGCCATGGCCGAGATTGCATACGCGCGCTACGTCTACGAGTTCACCTCCAAAGACGACTCATCAATCCGCGCCCCCGTTGCCAGCTTCTGGGCCACGCGCAGCCACACCCTCTGCGCCGAGGCCGAGGAACAGTTCCGCGGCCTGTGCTTGGAGTTCCCGCAATTCGGCTACGACATCCTCAGTAGGTGGATCGCTCAACGTCACTCTTGTCTTGACTGTTGCAAAGCTAAACGCTCGCCTAAACAGCTCGGGTCCTCAACGAGAAGCTCAAGCGCGAGCGCGACGAGAAATTGCACCTAGTTATGCCCAGCAGCGCCCGCAAGCGCCCCCGCCACAGCAGCAGCGCCGCCGCCACTTAGGAAGAAGAAGAAGATCAGCAGAAGAAGATCAAGCTGTGCGCAGGTAGTCGCGGGCGCAAAGACTCGACCAAGCCCTCCTAAGAAACTAACGGATGAACGGACAGCTGATGGCGATAATGGGTTGGGATGATGATTAGGGCTAGGGAGTTTCGGGCGAACGAGCGGAGGTACACCGTCCAAAAAATGAGGTGAACAGAGGACTGCACCCGATCTCGTGTCTTTTCTTTTTTTTGTCCCCTTTTTTTCAATCCTTTTATCCTTAACTCTCTACCAGCCTATATTTCATACCCCTTGCTGCTTGCTAGTATACAGCTTAGCGTGGTATCGACCGGAAAAGTTGCTTTTATAGACTTTGTTGTTTAGTTGTGCGTGTTGGTTGTATTTGGGGTAGCGCGGTTGCGGCCACGCGTCTCGTTACGTCAGGCCAGCTACGCCGCCTCTTGTTACAACCGGAGTTACGAGACAACCTTACTCAAAGAGACCTCATTATTCGACAGGCCAAGGAAGAGGAGGATAATATAGTACTTGATATCGACAAGATACGTAGAGAGCTTAAGTCTCTATACAGCCACCTCCTTCAGTGAGTTCAACCCTCTTGATCAGTAAAAAAACAACCTGAATTTGGCGTTTACGGCATACTCTGGGCTCAATAGGACGTAAGTGTATTTCCCGTCTCGAATTTTATTCTATGTCTCTCGATTCTACATTATTAAGAAAGGGAAGTTAGTTACTGATTAATCGCGGAGGTCAAGGGTTATAAGTAGAGCGGTAGCGTATTTATGACTCGCCTTGAGATGTGTGTCTGTATCAATCCATATAGGCCTTGCGCCCGCAACGTCTTTGGTGATAGCTTCACATTGATTCTCGCTCAGCTTCGTCAACGGCACGATCTACACCGTGATCTGGTTCAACAGCGCTGAGTGTGAGGGCCTGGTCCTCCAGGCCTCCCAGACGCTCTGACTAATCAGACGCCAGTTGGGTGGATCCACCCGACCAGCCAGAGCCCCACCTTGAGACGCCCTGGAAGAATCTCGCGAGGGGAGGCTTTTGAGCTTCTTTTCCCTTTTCCCTTTAGTTTAGAATCTTCGTCTATAGCGCCTAATAGAGGAGTTCCGCCCTCATTCCAAGCCGGCCGTGACACTGAGCAGGTGTACAAAACTGCGCTTTTGCCGTAACCCGTTGCCGCGACGAGCACCGTGTTGGCTTTTTCGAAGACTAATCGAGCCACTACCTTGACCTGACCTTCGCGGGCATTTTCGTAGCTAGTAATGGAGCAAATCGTCGCTTTGATAAGCTCCAGATTGCTTGGAGAAGCCATTATAGAGCGTTTGAGGTTGGTATGCGAACAATAAGCTGGTTACGAGAAAGAAAACTATACACTTAGGTTGTTAGGAAGAAGAGGATTCTCAGTAATGAATTTTTACAGATATAGCTATTTCGGCTGGTCTTTTGTATGGGGGTTACCAAGTTAAACGAAAAGCGTAACGCAGAAGAATTCGAAGGTCTAGTTGTACCAAAATACGCAATTCATAAGTTATCGCGCTCAAACTAGGCTTAAAATAATGCTCTTGCTTTAAGCATTCTTAAATATATTTCGGCTTCATAATAGTGGTTATGCTTTTAAAACTATTCGCAGTTCAGGATTTTGGAAAAACCCGATTTGCATGGCGGAGCGTAACGCAGAGCGCCAAAAACCCAGAATTGATCTCAGACGTCTTTTCCAGGCGTTCTGCGTATAAATGTGGGTCCTGGGATCTAAAATACCTAATTGGGCTAGCGGGACATATTTACACATTACATTAATTAGGTAGGCTTTTGTCCAGCCGCCCCATCGGGCCCACAACGTGAGCTATTCAATTTACCCCTACCCAGAATGGTGGGGAAGCCATCCCTCCCCCTGGTTGGAAAAAGACGTCTGAGTTTACTGAGATAAGCAACAGTCTAAGTTGACAACCTTGATCTTGGCCAAATCACCTTCAAGGGTCAATATTCTTTTGCTTGCCCCGCGGCACCCTCGTTTGTAGGGGAAAGCGATTAGCCGTGGTGTTAATTCCGCCGCAACGACGGGCTGAAAATTTTGTGTTTGTCAGGAACAACTCGCGGTGTCTCAAAAGGGAAACGAGCAAGTAAAGAGCGGTGGTTCAGCTCCCATCCACAACGCAACACTAATGGCTGTTTACTGCTAGGCGTATGCAGAGACGTGCTGTTCCAGAGTCGTTGCAAATGTGCGAAGAGAGTTGCAGGGCTTTCCGGGCGTGGAAAAAAAATCCGCTAGGGTTCGTTTTTCGACGGCTGTCGCAGGACAGTATGGCTTGGTCGTTCTCGTACGCAGGTACTAGTAGGAGGGCGGTTATTTTGGCTTTCACGGTTATTGCCAAGGGCCAATTCCAGGGTCGGTTCGATGCAGGCGGGCTGGAGCACGCCGTCAAGGAGATCCTTCGAGATCGCCGTCTCGGCCCTAAAATAAGGAGTTGGCACGCCGTGCAACATGTAAGCCGACTTTGTTTCTTGTTTGATGCACGCTGACCTCGTTTCTTGTTTGATGCACGCTGACCTGTCAGTTTCGTCTGCGCGACGAGCAAGCAGACCCGCCACACCATGTGCCTAGCCAGTTATGGCTCCCCGCACAGCGACAATTCCGACCTTCTCGATTCGACCACGACATGGCAGGCCTGCCGCGCCACGTCTGCTGCCACGACCTTCTTCGACCCTATTGCCATCGGGCCGTTCGGCGAAGAATTCGTCGACGGCGCGAGAACAACCCGGTGAATTCGGTATGGAATCAGGCCCGAGATATCTGGGGCGATCAGCTCCAGCGCAAGCTTCGATGCCTAGTGTCGATTGGAACGGGTGTGCCGAGGCTTGAGCCGGTGCGCGACAACGCTCTTAGCATCTGGGCGACGCTCAAAGACCTTGCCACCGGGTTTTCATTCTCTATGGTCTCGGGGGCATCGGGAAAACACAGCTGGCTATCGACTTTGCTCAGCGTCATCAGGCCACGTTCAGCTCGGTCTTCTAGGACGGCAGGTCGGAAGACCAGCTACGACAGGTCAGAAGACCAGCTACGACAGAGTCTTGCTGTCTGAGGAGGATCCCTGAAGGCCAGATCCCAGACAGGAGCAGAAATGTGGTCCCCAGCACATACAATATTCAACAGTACTTGGCTGCAGACCACGGGGCAGTGCTGATCACCAGCAGACCAAGTAACTCTTCACCAGCTTCGTCTATTACTATAGGGTTGTGTTTCCCGCTCACACCCGGAAGCCTTACCTAGCTCAGCTCTACACCACTGCTGAAAGATGGCCTTGCCCAGCTCTCTATTGACCTTTTTCAACTGCTTCGAATAATCGAGCTGCGCCAGCCGTAACAGTCGCGTGGATGGCCTGCCTCTAGCACTAGCACAGGCCGCAGCATATCTCCGCGAGACCGGCCTGGACTCGTGTCATGCGTTTGGTTTTACACAGAGCAGTGGGACAACCTGACAGAGTCAGAAGAAGAAGGCTCGCCGTTAGCGGACTACGAACGAAGCGTGGGTACGACATGGACAATGTCGTTCAAGGCTATCAAGGCGAGAAGCGAGAGTGCTGCAAACCTGGTAACCCTTACTCTCAGTAACCAAGACCTGTGGCATGGTTTGCTTTGAGCAGCTCCGGATGACAAACAGTGGCCGGGCTGGCTTTCTGAGATGGCTGACAATAAGGTCAAGTTTATGGATACGGTTCAACTGCTGCTCCTCTGCTGCGTGCTGCAGCGGCGACTTCTCCCGCACGCAGAGCAGTGTTCATGGTGGATGGGAGAAATCGATAGGGCTAATAGAGGTAGACAAAGCTTTGTTGATATTCCGGTGGTGGATGCAATACAAAGCTTGGGCATCCTCGACAGGGACCAGGGCCTGCTGGCTGAGGCCGAGGCCCTATACGAGTGCGCACCGCAGGGCTTTCAACTCGCTTTGGGAGTTGAAAAAAAGGGTGGAGCTCTTACAGCCGGAATAGAATAACCATCAGGCTTTGCAGACAATAACCATCAGGCTTTGCAGGGCAATCCAGGAAACTCTTCCTACTAATGGGTTAACCTAGAAGAGAGTGAGACTTGAACGTATCCTCTGTTTTTTATTTTTCCACCTCTTTGCCACTGGGTCCTAGAGGCCGTTGTAATTTTATAACTTGTGGAAGAATCTTTTACGGGTCCTAGGGGCTGTTGCAATTTATACCCTGTGGAATAATCTTTAATGTTCTGGCGTCTTCGTGATGATTCTAATCCATAAAGGATTTGTCAGTCTTTTATTATTATCATGATTAATTAATTACTTCATAAGCTGTCTCAGCTGACTAGGGCAGCTAGATGTATACATCGTACGACTACAAGTACGGTTCCCATGTAAGGAAAAGGACACCCCAAACACCAACTGCGCGCACAGGGTGCGCGCCCACCACTTGTCACCAACTGGCTAGAACACTGCCAGCTGGCATACGCTACGCCGTGGCGCCACGACCGCAGACTGATGCCCGGGCCGAACCCCTGAGCAGGTATATAAACAATGGCCCTCGCCCATCTTCCTTTGCGAAGGCCAGGTTGAAGTCTTACACCAATACAAGTCATTGCTCCCCTACCTTCTTGCCTGCATTGTGACCACCTTGATCAGGCGTACCTACCTTCTCTTACATCCCACTTCCTGCTTCTGGAAAATCGATCCTTGCTGCAAACCCATCCTGCCAAACAGGACGTTCTTGTAAGAAAGGGTTGCTTTCCATCTGCGGAAACCTGGTTGCCTTTCTTTCGTTACCGTTGGCCATATTCCCCCTTCTACCGCTCTTCTCCATCATGTACTCTTCAGACGAGAACCGTAAACTCTTGTCGGGTAAGAAGATGCGGTCTCTAGGTCTATTTTCTATCAGCGAGACGTGTATGGGAGGGGCACGACTTCCTCTACTGGGGCTGTAATGTTTGATGTTCCGTGAGCTTCGGTGTCAAGCAAGCCTGCTGATTGAAGGGCTGTTGCTTAGTTTGTTCTTTATCCGGCGCGTGGTGAGAAATTATCGCCTGAGTCGCGATTCCCACTTCAGCACTAGTCTACCTCTTCGCATCGTTCAAATCTACAATAAAAAGCGAAGCTGACTTCGTTGAATTCGCTTACGTAACAGGGCCAAAAATGCAATAAAAAACTGCAGGCCTGCTTACACTACTCATAACTACTCACAACTGCTCTCAACTGCTCACAACTGACTGCCCTACTGATCCATGCCTTTCAATGCCCGGGCGGTCAGTCGAGGAACCCTTCCACTGCGTGTAGGCTTTTCAACACAACCTGCGGCTACTGCAGAGGCTGCAGAGGCTGCAGAGCCACGTGAGGCTCGTGATATTGTGCGGCCCCGGCTACCGCGTCGTGTGCCTTGGTGTTGTGAAGGTCATGAGGCCGTGCCTCCCCAGCTACCGCGTCGTGTGCCCCGGCTTCCTGTTCCCCGGCTTCTCGTGCCCCGGCTACCCCGGCTACCACGAGCTGCATTGAGGTTGTTGACAGTACGGCGAGGAGGTGGTACAACAGGCTAGCTAAGCTCATCAAAGTCATCATCGATGTCATCGTCAAGGGAGACTCCCTCCCACTGTGAGGCATGCCGGCGAATGGAATAAGTCCGGATTGCCTGCCTGGTTGGCCGGCCAGCTGTGTGGCTCTTGGCTGTATAGTCGGGACCCTCGGTGCGTTCGGTTCGGCGGCAAACGTTTTCGAGTTACGTGGCCTACCGCGAAGGGTTTTGACTCTGTCAAGCTCTTGGTAATGCAAGTAATTCTCTTAGTCAAGTAACGACCTATCTAGGTACTAATATAGATGGAAATCGGTCTTTTGAAGCTTCAAATTACCGGCTTAGTGACGATGAAGGAGCTCACAAGCGCAAGGAATTCCATACTGTGCCCGGAACCGACCGGTGCAGAGCTCTAGAGGCGAGGCGCAGTCCCCGGGAGTAGATTCTATCTTAGTGTGTTGCTTTACAACACGATCGAGGGCATTATAACTCCTCTACTATATCGAGTGACTGTTGTACGGTTTGGGAGGTGTTGCTGTTGCCGGTGATAACAAAAGACTTGACTAATTCAGCTGATGATGTAGTGCGTCGACCAAAGTTGAGTACGTTGTTGGTGTAGCAAGTCGCCCACTCTTCCAGGCTGGGCGGCGACATATTCGATACACCTATACAAATATTCGGCGAATATGATACAAAAAAACTCAGCGAGATGACAACTGCTGTTGCGGGCACCATAGGGGGCAAAGCTGGCAGCAAAACGTGAAAGGAAAATACCTGGTGTAGCTTAGCGCCAGCCCGCTAAGTTACAGTATTCATCTCACTAATTTTAACGTTTGCCTCACTAGAGCTTCTGTCGATTTCAGCGTTTCATATTCCCGAAATATTCGTATAGAGGTGTCGAATATATCGCCGCCCACCCTGCACTCTTCAATAAGTGGCATCTAGGTTTGTTTGAGATACCCAAGTATGGCTTTTTGGGCGGAAAAGTAGCTTTCATCATCTCCCATCTCTGTGTGTAGCCATCGAGGGTAGGCAAGTATATCATATGCTCCCAAAGTAAGTACATTCCTGCTTTGGTATACGGTATCTCGGCCGGTAAGGCACCAATATTGACTTCTTGTCTATTACGAAGTCTTCTTGTAAGGTAGACAACCTGCTCTTCTTCTTCGCTGTCTTCTTCCTCGCTGTCTTCTTCCCGCTGTCTTCTTCCTCGCTGTCTTCTTCCTCGTTGTCTTGTTCATTGTTGTTTTCCTCCTCTTGTTGCGCGCCCGAGCCGAGCCCGGGCAACCTGCTTCGCAGCGGCCTTGCTCCATTTCTCTTAGAGTTCAGGACCACATTCTTGTTGATGTGGAAAATGCAGAGTTGTGAGTAAGCATTAGGGTAAACACGTGCAACTGCAAACCTCATCAGCTTCTCAAAGTCGGTAATTGTGACAATAGAGCGTCAAGCGCCGATTTCTTCGCGATGCTCGTTGACCTTGTCCGTTAGCCAGTTGAAGCCTTCCTCACGTTTGTTGTCGATCAAGCCGAACGCACAACTAACTGATTTACCTAAGTAGTTCTTGTGGACGATCTAGAAGAGAGCACAGCCCTCGTTGTTAGTACTACATGTGTTATTGTATAACTAAACCTAGGGGTAACGCTTTCACATCTACTCATACTAGGGAGGAGACCAAAAAAGACCTCTTGGCTTTTCTTTTTCATCATCTAACCAAAGGACTTCGTAATGTGTTCATCGTTAAGCAACTTCTTCGTGGCCTGGAATGGCGACTATCTATTGAGGGCAAGTCTGCGTATATGAGAGCGGCTTTTTCGTAGGTGTCACGACCAGGGCAAGGCATTGAGGTGAACTCAGTCCATTGGGTGCTATCGACGAAGATTCTAAACTGAGGAAGGAAAGAAGGAAAAGTCCAACAACGCGTCGCGTGCTCGCGAATAAGTTTTCATCTATCAGTGGGGTAGGTGGGGCCTCGAGGCGGCTTCTGATAGGCCCGGGGTTCTGGGCGGCTCTGGCTGCTTGAGGGCCAGTTTGGTGGACGGGTCCTCACAGTAGGTGACTGTCGTATTACAAACCACTCGACCGTTAGGGTCGTCTGTCTGTAAGGGAGCACGGGCTCCACAGGATGCTTGGGTTGGTAATTCTGAAGATAGAACAAAGGGCAAGCTCTTATTGCACGGGTAATACAGTGAAATCGGAATGCCACTCAAAGTATATGAGTCCAGTAAATGTGTATTGCTTGCTTACAGAACC